GCCGCGCACCACCTTCCGGCCATGGTGCTGTGAGCGCCGCGTGCGGTTGCCGGCGTTGCGCACTGCACCTCCGCGCTGCTCCTCCTGGAAGGAACCCGGACCCCGGGCACGCGCTCTTTGCGTTTTGGAGGGGTCCCCCAAGACCGGCCGAGGCTCGATCTCTCTCCTGATACCCGTGCACCCAGGGACTGCCGGGGACGGGGGGCGTCTCCGCGTCCTAGAGAGGCAGGGCCCAAGGACACAGCCTTGAGAGCCGGGGGTCGTGGGGGGCCAGGAGCAGCCAGCAGAGGCCCGGGGAGCTGCTCCGAGCGCGACAGGTTCCGGAGTCCCCCTCGCCCCCCAGCTCCGGCCGCGGGCGCCCTCTGGTGTCGCCTCCCAGCCGCTTAGCTGAACTCCCGTCGGGCGTTTTGTAACATAAAGAAACTATAATATTAATGAAAGAAGTATAAAGTGTATAGAGTTTTCCAGAAACTGTGTTTTCCTTCCAGAAAATGGTCACTTTAACTTTGTAAATAGTTATCTAAATGATATTTACAAAGCTGTGATATATATTATTTGATTGTATATGTACACCTGTAAATACATTTGTACCTCTTGTATTCTAAAATAAAAATGACTTGGAACGGCTCTCTTTTGGCGTTTGAGCGGGTGGGCGGTGGGCGCGTGGACAGGAGATCAGGAAAGCCCTCAGATGCTGGCAAGGAGGCGAGGATGACTGTGTTGAAATTCGCCGCTGTACCCTGTTCAGGGGAACGGTCTGTGTCACAGTTCGGGTCAGAGCCCAGAGAGGCGGCCACAATGTTAGCCCCAGGTTGGCCTCAGACTTGTGGCGATCCTCCTGCCTCAGCCTCCCAAGTGCTGGGATTATAAGCGTGCACTGCCACACTTGGCCATCTAGTTTTTCGTTTTCACCCCAATTTAAAGGATTCAGAGAAACTGTGGGCCGGACCAAGATGGCCAGCCAGTTTCCTCCGGATGGATGAAGTTGCTTAATTCTCTGGGCATCTTCCCCAGCAGCTCCTGTAGAGGACCAAGGAGTGCGCAGGCCGTCACGGAGGGGCCGAGGGCTTCGGCTCTGCCTCTCTCCCGTCCTGGACCTGCTGGGCCATAGGAGTTGTGCAGGCCTGGGATCTGGAGGCTCCCCCCACCCCGCTAGGCGTGTGCCTGCCCAGACGGTGTCGTCCTCCCCACCCCTGGGGGCCTCGCTTCCCGGCATCTCTGCCCTCTGGTCGGGCGCGAGCTCTCACGCACGCGCGGACCTTCGGGAGCGCGCTGGGGCGCGTGCCCACGGCCTCAGTCTTTGAAGATCATCTTGCGCCGGGCCCAGGGTTCGCTCTTGTGACTCCCTCCCTTCCACATCTCGCCCCTCCTTCCCCGCCCCTGTGGACCTTGAACAAAAATTAAATGGTTGGTTCAATTCTGTGAAGTCCCCGCTAACAGCTCATCGGGCTCCAGAACCCGCCTGGTGGCAGCATGAGGTAATTGCAGCCGGGGACTCGGGGTGTGCGGGGTGTGCCCCAGCCCTGCGCTTGTGAGGCAGGCGCCAGAACCTCTGAGCTAAATCCCTAGCGGGATGGTCTTTTCTTTCATGTTCTTTTGAAGCACAAGGAAACTGAGGCAGAGAGTAAGTCATTTGCCCAGTGCGGGGCAGAGCAGGGTTCTACTTCTGAAGTCCAATCCTAGAAGCTGTGCCCGAGGACCAACTGAGTTGTGGATACAAACAAATAAAGTACATGGCTCCGTGCCTGGCACTTAGTAAGTGCTCAGTAAACGGGAGCTTTGCTAGTACGAGTTTGGACAACCTGAGGCAGCTGCTGGGCTTCTCCCTGCACCCTTCTCTCCCCACTCAGTCTGGCTATTTTGAACTAGAGGAACAGAGACCCTGAACTTGCTCTCTTCCTCCCTCCGAGCTGGCCTGCTGGATGTACATCTTTGAATGGGTGGAGGTAGTCTTAGATGTGGCCAGTGAGTTGAGGTGCCTGATGGCTTGCACACTCCAGGACAGGTGAGGGTCTCCAGACTTCTGAAGGTCAGCACAGAGGCGGGTGTCCACAGGGAAGCCTCTGGCAGTCAGGTGGTCCATGCTGACCCAGCCCTGGAAGTCACACAGAGGCACCTGTGCCACCTGGCAAAGTGGTCCCAAACCTGCCCAGATGCAAGGGAAGGAGCCCCAGGTCCTTGGTTCTTTTGCAGGGAGTGGCACTGGGGATCGAATCCAGGGCCTGCACACGGAGCTCCATCCCCAGCCCTTTTCATTTTATATTTTGAAACAGGATCTCACTAAGTTGCTAAGTTGCTCAGGTTGAACTCAAACTTGTGATTTTCCTGCCTCAGCCTCTGAGAGGGCAAGACCTTGATTTTTTTTTTTTTTTTTTTGAGACAAGATCTTGCTAGGTAGTTCAGGCTAGCCTTGAACTCATGGTGATCCTCCTGCCTCAGCTTCCTGAGTGCTGGGATTACAGACATGCTTCACCACATCCGGCTCCTGGGGCTTGTTTTAATCTGGTATTGTAAATCAGGCAGACACAGAAATGGCTGTCACAGAGAAAGAACTTGTTTATACGGAAAGGTCCCTAGAAAGGGAAGGCAGAGTATCGAGAGAGCCCAGTAAAGGAGGTGTTGAGTATGAATTGTGGATTGGGTGGTCTTCACATGAAAGGCTTCATCTTGGATGCATTGTTTACTGACCCTAGAATTTTGTTAACCTCAGGAGGGAAGGTGCCTTTGAGGAGAGCCAGGCCCTGAGGCTGAATATAGAAAATCAAAGGCAAGGCTAATATGAGGGCCTACAGTGGATCATACATAGTTCTACAAACTGGCCAAGGAACAATATAGACCAAGTCTGGCTGGGTGTGGTGGTGCACACCTGTTATTTTAGCTACTCAGGAGGCTGAGGCAGGAGGATTGCATGTTTAAATCTAGCCTGGGCAACTCAGTGAGAATCTGTCTCAAAATATAAAAGGGCTGGGGATGAAGCTAGTGGTTGAGCACCCCTGGGTTCAATTCCCAGTGGTCCTCAAGAAGACCAAATCTAGGTATTTGAGGGGCTTATCTTGTGGACTGCTGATGCACAAATCAATAAGCAAATTGTATTTTGTAAATATATCTAATTTTGGGAGGCAGTCTTGAGACAGGATCTTGATAAATTGCTTAGTTGCCCAGGTGAAACTTGAACTTGCAATCTTCCTGCCTCAGTCTCCAGCATGCTGGAATTACAGGAGAGCACGACCACACCTGGCTCCTGTATCTCATATTTTTTTTCAGCAAACACTTTATAGCTCTTGCTGGGCTAGATGTAGTTCCAAGAGCTGATACATAGTGAACAAAACAGAGGAAGTACTAGTTTTCCGACGGCCATAAGCAAATAAGAAAAGTCAGTGACAAGAAATAAAATAGGATTAAGTGGCAGGAAAGGGACTGGAGAGTTATTCTAGATGAGGAGGTCAGGGAGACCTTCACTGGAAGAGGATTTTTTTTTTTTTTTTTTGGTACCAGGGATTGAATTTGGGTCCTTGCATTTGAGAGGCAGGCGGCGGCACCACTGAACTAAATCCCCAGCCCTGGAAGAGGATATTTGAGCAAGGTGTGAATGGGGGTCAGGCGCCACCCCACAAAGACGGAGGTGGGGGTGGGGTGGGAGGGAGGAGGGCTGGCGATTTAGCTCAGTGGTTCTGTCCTTGAGGACCCGAGTTTGATCCCCGGTACCAAAAATCAAAATAAAATAAAAATGGGGAGAGGAGACTTCAAGCAGGAAGAGCTCAAGCTAGCCAGTCTCCGGGGGCAGCGGGCAGTGTGGTGTAGGTGGCATGGATGGAGGCCAGTGAGTCTGTGGGTCTGGCTGCTGCCAGTGAGTCATGGTAGTCCAGTCAGGAGAAGAGGGAGGCTGAGACAGGCAGGGGCTGGGGTGCTGAGTTTGGGTTTATTCTTAGTGTAAGAAGTGTGCCAGAAACGTCTTAGGCAGGGACATGACTTAGTGTGATCTGCTTCAAAGAGCTCCCTCTGGCTGCTGCATGGAGTTTGGGTGGTGTGTGTGTGTGTGTGTGTGTGTGTGTGTGTGTGTGTGTGTGTGTGTGAAATGTAAAATCGGGGGAGATGAGCCAGGAGTTATTACACTGCCCTAGAAATAAATGATATTGATCAGGCTGAGGTGGTGGCAGGAGAAACACGCAGATGTGGAAAAATTGGTGGGAGCTAGACCCGGTCAGCCACTGGTGTCACAGTAGACTTCCGGAATCGCCTCTCCCGAGCCTCAGTGCCTACCGCTGGGCTTGGAAACCGTTTGTGTGACAAGCCCCCTTGGAACACACAGCTTCATCCGGCGCCCACTCCTGTCCATGGGCAGAAAGAGGCGCAGGGTGGGGAATCTGGAGTCTTGGATTCTAGTCCTAGGGCAGGTCGGGGGGCGGGGCTCAGGGGCCGGGAAGTGATTACCACCAGGAGCCCCCAGGCCCACATCCTGGATAGGAAAAAATAACAGGATGTTGGTAAAGCGCTTAGTAAGCTGGTGTGGCCCGCCTGGGCCTCGCGGCCCTCAGCTTCTGGGAAGGCTGGTCCTTCTGGGGCCTCTATTTCCTCCTGGGTAAACAAGTCAGCATTATGAAGTCCCAGGCGCCGGTCTAGAGACACTCCGGAGGCCTGGCTCCTTAGGGGCCCGCCTGGGCTATGCTGGCTCAAAGGACACGATCGCCCTCTTATGGCCACAGCCCGACTCAGCCATTCCCACTTTCCTGCTCCAGCCCTGGGAGGAGGCAAGGTCTGGCTTCCTGCTTACTCGGGGACTTTTGGGCTGGCAGGGTTGACGTGAGCCTGGTGTAGGAAAGGTGAAGGAAAGACTGTCGTTTTGGAGATTTATGAAGCGATGGCCTGATGGGTGTTCCGGGGGCTGGGGGCTTGATCTACCGATGAGCCGGCAGGAGCTGGTGTGGCCGGTGCAAGTTTTTTGTTTTTTGAGTTTTCTTTTTTTTTTTTTTTTTTTTTTTCCGTGGAGAACTAACCTAATACCCTGAGGCTCAAATTCAGCTTGTTGTAAACCACGCAGGGCCGGAGAAGGCATCGGGAGCCCTGTGCGGGCGTGGAGATGATGGGTGTATTGCCGAATCCTGGGGCTCCCACTGGGACTGTACGCAATTCTGTTTATTCACACAGCGTTCTGAACGCTGTCGCACAAAAATATCAGATCACAGTGGCTTAGAGCTGTACGGACACTCAGATTCCAGTACGAGGCAGTTTGGTAAAAAGTCAGACGCCCTACGACTTGAGATTCTTTTATTCCTCAAGAGCTCCCTTGACAGTAGTAAACATGGCAACTCGGCTCCTTCGTTCCTTCCTTCCTTTTAGGTAAACTTCATGGTTGCCAATAGTCAACATGGTCACCAGTCTGCGAATTCCCATTGGCGACTGCTCCGAATCTCCGACCCCTTCGAGCGTCAGCGGGCGTGGCGGGAGAGCTGCGCCTGCGCAGACTATTGGCGCCAAGATGGCGATGGCGATGAGGCTCCCCGTGGCGCGTAAGCCACTCAGTGAGACCCTGGGGCGCGATACTAAGAAACACTTGGTGGTACCGGGGGACACGATCACGACAGACACGGGCTTTATGCGGTAGGTGGGCATTTGGGGGGCCCGAGGACACAAGAAGCCGCTGTGGGGCTCTGCACGTGGGCTGCTTGGCCGGAAACCCAGGCCTCTGGTCTCTTTGTTGTTTAGTCTCCACGGGGCCCGGCGCATCTCCTGAGCATCCCAGTCGCCGAGTCCTCGGTAGTCCCTGCTCCTTGCTAGTTCGTCTAGGTCCCGAACCCTCCTGATTTCTTCCAGCCGTGGTTTGGATGCTTTGCCCGAAGTGTATTTGGTGTTTTGTTTTTTTTTTTAATTAATTGAGCTTATTGTTACATTTAAGGCATACAGTACAATTACGTTCATTATTGGGATCCTGTACCTTTACATGACAGGTCTTGGCTCTCATTTTTTCTCCCTTGTCCGTGCCCTCCCTTCACCCCCTCCTCCCCTCCCCATTTACAAACACTTTATTTCCATTTTCTCATTTTGTCATATTTTTTTATTGGTTTTATCGTTTGTTCTTTTAGGTATAGGGTCTCACTATACAGTCCAGCTTGGCTTTGAACTCGCAGTGTAGTCCAGGCTAGACGGGAACACCTGTCGACCCTTCGCCTGAGCCTCCCAGGGCTAGAATGACAGGCGTGCGCCTCCTCTCCTGGCTCCAAAGTCTGGGTCTTTGAGCCTTTCTCCTGGAAGCACTGGGGGAGGGTTAGGGGCCTGGGCCTCTTCATGGGGTCAGAGGCATCCCTGTTTTGGCCTCCTCAGTGTTGGAGCCGAGGCTTGGTCTTAGGATCAGTAATTGATTGGATTTAGGGCACCCCTCTGTACAGACTGTGTTAGAGTGCAGAGGGTGGGCTCTGGGGCCAGCGACGGCTCTGGTCCTGCTACCTTGGCACAAGTTTTTCACCCTGGTGAACATTAGTGGCAGTAGCCCCCACCCCCTAGGAACATAAAGGAAAAGTACATTTGTAGCACTGCCCTTGAAGCTTTTTTTTTGGCTCTTTAAGCTTTTAAGGTTATTGGATGGTAAGAAGTCTTAGGATTCATTTTTCAGCTGGGTGTAGTGGTGCATGCCTATATAATCTGCACACTCTAGGAGGAGGCTGAGGCAGGAAGTTCTTAAGTTCAAGCCTAGTCTGGACAACTTAGCAAGACCCTGTCTTGAAATAAAAAGGGCTGGGATGTAGCTCAGTGCAAAGGCCCTACATTGAATCCCTAGTAACACACACACACACACACACACACACACACACACACACACACACACGACTCATCCTTTCCGTATACATTTCTGTTTTGTATGGTTAAAGTATACTAGTGAACAAGGCCAGGCTGTTCTGCTGGGGTTTATGTTCTAACAGAGGCAGGTAAGTAATGATTGCTGTATGTTATTCAGAACATTTGACACAAATTCAATGGGAAAAAAAGTGGAGTGGGGTGAGGGAAATGGGGTTGAGGATATGGCGGGAATGGTGGCCTGGGAAGGGACGTGCTCTTGGGGAAAGTGACACGAGCAGCTTTGTGTGCCACAAGGGAGATGTTCACAGAGCACCCAGGAGAGAGTGCGCCCGGCTTTTAGGGCCGGTGCAGCCTGCTGAGCTCAGGGCACACATGTTCTGGATGGTTGAAGTCCCTTGGGTGTTACACTGACATCAGCTCCCTGTGTCTTTGTCTTGCTGCAGCGGCCATGGGACGTACATGGGGGAGGAGAAGCTCATTGCATCTGTGGCGGGCTCTGTGGAGAGAGTAAACAAGCTGATCTGTGTGAAAGCCTTGAAAACCAGGTGAGACGAGAAGGTGTGTATTCTCTGGGTAGTGTTGCCTCCCCTGTCCCACTGTAGGTCCTGGCCTGTGACCTCAACTACAGGCAGGGTGGTAGAAATCAGTGCCAGCTTCAGAGGTTCCGTGTCACCTGCCTGCTCTGAGACTTGGTTACCGCTTCTGCAGCGTGAGGGTAACTGTGACCTGCCTTGGAGGATCCGTTAGAATTCAGAGGTGGTACATGTGGAGTATTTTGCACAGGGCCGAGGACCTAGCCATGGTCATAAAGGTTGTTGGGATGGAATGAATGAGGGATGAACAGGGATGGATGGTCACCTGCTTGGTAGCCTGCCGTGATGAGCAAGAGTTGTTCCACTTTGTGAGATCTGGAGTCACCGGAAGGGATGAGCACAGGAAGAGGGCTGTGATGTGGAACCCACTTTTTTTTTGTTTTTTTTTTTGGTACTGGGGATCATACTCAGGTACCTGCTTGAGAGGCAGGCACCGAAACCACTGAGCTAAATCCCCAGCCCTAGGAGGGCTGCTATCTGACTTAGGGATTTATTGTCTTTGAGACAGGGTCTTGTTATGTTGCCTAGAATGATTTGGATGGAACCTAGAGACCCATTTCCTCCCCTGCTTCAGCCTCTTGAGTAGCTGGGACTATAACAGCACGTGCCTGGCTTGATTTAGGTTTTAATCAGGTCATTCTGGCTGCTGTGGGGAGTCAGAAGGGATGGGGTTAGGGTAGGGAACCGTATTCATCACCTGCAGTGATGGCCCCTGGGACTAAGTGAGGCGTTTTTGTTTTGCTTTTTTTTATCATAAGAGAGTATTGAGTTTTTCATTCTTTGGGATTTTTGCTTGTGTTTTTTTCAGAGAGGGTCTCACTCTGTACTTCAGGCTGGCCTTGAACTCGCTATGTAGCTCGGGCTGGCCTGAAACTCACGGCGGTCCTCCTGCCTCAGCCTTCTAAGTGCTGGGGTGACAGGTGTGCGTCACCACACCCAGTTAGGATTTTCTATAAACAGGACCGTGAGTCCTCTGTGAGTGGACACGGTTCTACTTCTTCCTTTTTGATTTGCATGCCTTTTATCTCCTGTATGTTTTTAAGGGAGAGCCCACAGGATTTGCTGCTGGACTCGTCCCAGAGCGGGAGATAGGAATTGAGGGTGACCCACCAAGGTTTTGGGCCTGAGCACCCCAGGGAATGGTGTCTTCATTCCCTGCGCCGGAATGACAAGGAAAGGAGCAGGGGCTGCTGGGAGCTTGCTCTTGGGCTTGCGTTTGAGATGCCCTTGAGCTTCTCAGTGGCAGCGGTAGGAGTCAGTGATGGATTAGGCCGTCGAACCGGAGGAGTTCTTCATGGGGTGAGCATGGCTGGAAAGGAGACTTTGAAGCAAGTGAGCAGCAAGCCCCTTGAGTGGTGGCCCAGCTCAACCTCTCCCTCGGCCGGTGCAGAACCCGTCTGTGTTCCACAGGGAAACACCCCACGAACCCCAGAATAGGGATGCCGAGTAAGGGAACCGCTTTCAGTGAGCAGCTAGTGTACGGGTAGCCGGCGGAGACTGTCCAGGCAGGAAGGCTGAGGGTAAGGCCACGTGGCACAGTGACAGGTCCGCTAAGTGTGCAGTGTCCCCAGGTCCCTCGACCCGTTTGACCGAAATCTCCAAGGGTGACCTTTTGTTTTGTCTTCCAGGTACAGCGGTGAAGTAGGAGACATTGTAGTGGGGAGAATCACTGAGGTAAAGTTGATGTCAGTCAGTGCGTACAAAGTGAAGGCCATTGGTGACCTCAGGAGTGGGGCAGATGGTCTATAAGTAGCTATTTTAAAAAGGCATTCATTACACAGGGCTGCCGTGTGACCTCTAGCTTGTTACATTTGGGATTGCTGACATCTCCCATCCCTTTGGAGACAGGGTCTTGCTATGCTGTTCAGGCTGGCCTTGAACTCACTTTGTAGCCCAAACTGGCCTAGAACTCTGGGCAAACCTCCTGCCTCAGCCTCCCAGTGCTGGGATTATAGGTGTGCCCACCACACCTGGCTGTTGGTCCCTCATGATGTGAGCGTTTGTCCCTGGAGTGTGTGTGTGTGTGTGTCTAGGTGTGGACCTTTATGTTTTCAGGTTCAGCAGAAGAGGTGGAAGGTGGATACCAACTCCAGGCTGGACTCAGTCTTGCTGCTCTCGTCCATGAACCTTCCGGGCGGAGAGCTGGTAATTGTCCGGCCAGGTCCCGAACTGCACTGTTGGCTGGCACGAGCTGTGGTGCCCTTGCTGCCCCCAGAGAACTCTGCCTGATGCCGAGCTTGTGCCTGTTACTCTGCTGTGAGATTTGCTGCCCATGTGTACACCTGGCCCAGGCTTCAATGTAGGCGACACCTGGTGTGCAGTAGGATCAGAGGCGGCCTTGGGATGGGATCTTAGAAGAGCGCTGGGAGAGGTGCCTTTAGATGTTGGTGTATGAGCTCTGCACGGTGGGTGTCCTTGAAAAGTTGTTTTTAGACTAGTTTTTGTGATTTGGTTGGCATTTGATGAAGGCAGAGCCTCAGCTGCAGACTGCTGTACAGAGCAGGGTTCAGCCCAGCATGTGCGCACAGAGGGGCTGCAGGCGTTGGCGCTCCCCAGGCGCTCTCACACCAGCAGGGGGTGGGAGACGACCGCAGAGTAAACAAGCCTGTGGCACAAAGAGTGACTGATTCCAGAGAGAAAAATTACACACACAAGACTTGCTGCCTGAAGGGTGGAGAGCATTCAGATGAGTCCAGGGACTCGGAGAGAAGCCAGTGTGTGAACAGACGCAGCAAACAAGAAGCGGCCTGGTGTGGCTGGGGTCCGGCAGGGCGGCCTGGGAGGGTTTGGGGAGCAGGCAGGACGGGTGGCCGGTCCTCAGTCGGGAGGGACAAGCGGGAGAGGTCTTGCGGATGGAAAGTCGGGGTGCCTCGGTGGCCCCTCACCATAGTTCTCAGGGTCTGAGTAGCCCGGTTGGCCGCAGAGATCCGAAGAAGAGTGAGACGGGGTCTGTGGGAGAGCGGAGGTCCACGGAATCGGCCTGAGCCCCGTCTCTGTTTCAGAGGAGGAGGTCTGCGGAGGACGAGCTGGCCATGCGAGGGTTCTTGCAGGAAGGGGACCTCATCAGCGTATCCTGCTCCAGTGCTTTTCCTGGGGTGGGAAGGGGCTCATGCTTGTGTCTGCAACAGGAGCGTGTCATCCTTGCAGGGCCCCGAGTCCTGCCCGTGTGTCCGGGCTCTGCTGTACTCGTCCTTTCCTTGGGTCACGTAGCTCCTGGTAGCCCGTGTCACATTTTATCCCAGAGCGTAGAAAAGCTGTATCCACACCACCCAAGGGAAAGGCAAGGTCGCATCCATGTCCTCTTAGCCACTTAGGAGATCGGGGTGGATGGCTGGTGGCGGGGTGGGACCCGGCAGGTGAAGGAAGCCAGATGTGAGAGCCTGTGGTTTGCTCCTTCACCACCCAGCCAGGCCGAGGTGCAGGCAGTGTTCTCCGACGGAGCAGTCTCTCTGCACACCAGGAGCCTGAAATATGGGAAAGTAAGTCCCGCCCTTGCTGTGCTGTTTGCCGACCGAGGCTTCCGGTCCATTTCCGCAGTCCCTGCGTGCTGACGGAAGAACCCTGGCGCCTGTGCCCAGTGGTGTTCCCGACCTCAGCTGGAGGAAGGGCCTCTTTGCCCTCTGCCTGGGGCTGTCTCTGCCCTTGGCCCCCCTGGTAGCCAGGTCAGCGAAGTGGACTGCGTTGCCAGAAAAGGCGGGGTTGCCTTCTGAGCCTCTGCGTGAAACTCCCGCTGCTCTGTGAGATTACGCCCTCAGGGCCAGGTTCTGCAGGCCCCGGGCTTCTCATTTCCTCCCTTGATGAGGGGGCGGCAGCCAGCCGCGTTGGCTGACACTCGGCGGAGCTACAGACCCTGCCTCGGCAGGATGAGGCCCCGGCTCTCACCCAGCTCTTGCTGGGATGGATGTTCAGGGTGACGGGACGAGCTCGGCCGTGGGACGGGGCAGCGTCCTTGGCCAGCGGAAGGCTCTGGAGCTTCCCGACGGCCGCCCTGGGTTGGCAGGTGACGGTGGGATGCAAGAGAAGAGCACAGCGGTTGCCCTGAGAGATGTGTGAACACCCTGGGGATCCGGAAGTGCGTTCTGCACAAACGTATACAGGCTCTGTTCGTATGCAGGGACGGTGCCTATAAACAGGAAGGCGCCAAGCTGGCTGTACGGGGCACATGGTCTGTAATCCGCTCGTCGTGACCAGGCTGTGCTCACGGTGACGGCACATGCTGTTTCTCCAGCTCGGCCAGGGCGTTCTGGTCCAGGTCTCCCCGTCCCTGGTGAAGCGGCAGAAGACTCACTTCCATGACTTGCCTTGCGGTGCCTCTGTGATTCTGGGTAACAACGGCTTCATCTGGATCTACCCGACCCCAGAGCACAAAGAGGAGGACACGGGGGGCTTCACTGCAAACCTGGAGGTGAGGAGGCACCTTTGCTGTGCTTTGGGGGAAGGCAGGGTCTGTTGCTTTTTCCCATTTCCTTTTTGAACCCCAGGGCGTTGCACTGAGCCAGCTCCAGCAGTTAATTTATGCTACTGGGGATCGAACTCGGGACCTTGCGCTTACGAGGAAGGTGGCAGAACCACTGAGCTCAATCCTGGCCCTAGCCAATTTAATTTTGAGACGGGCCCATCTAAGTGGCCCAGGCTGGCCTCGAACCTGTCTGAGATGTCGGTGTTAGGTGACTCTGTCCTTGCGTAGCAAGAGTATTTACAGACTCAGCTACAGCCTTGCTAGGTGCTTTAATTGTAGGAGACCAGCGCTGTCTGTGTGGTCTGCCAATGACTATACAGTGTCACTGCAGCGTGTGACCGCATGTCGTTGCTATAGCCCAAGTGAGTTTGGATTTCCACCAAGCCCTGGCATGACAGCTGAATTGCTTTTCTTCTTCTCAAACTGGGGACTGCTTGTCTTTGATGGCACAGGTGGCAAGGGTGCAGGGCAAAGACAAAAGCCCCCGAGGAGGCCGTGCTGGGTCTCCCAGGGAGGGCTGTCTGCCTGCAGAGTCCTAGAGCAAGGCCATCCAGGTCACGAACGGTCTTTTCTGTGATGCACTAGGGCGGTTCTTACTTTGCTGCCATTTGCATTACCCCACCCTTCCCGTCCCTGTAGCCTGTGTTGCTGGCTGATCGAGAGGTGATGTCCCGGCTTCGGAACTGCGTGGTCTCGCTGGTGACTCAGAGGATGATGCTGTACGACACCAGCATCCTGTACTGCTACGAGGCCTCCCTTCCACATCAGGTGCCGCTCCGTGGGTCTCAGCAGGGTCACAGCCATGTGCCCCGGGCACTTTACTGGGTCCCTCCGAGAGGGGCGGGTATTCTCAACATCCATGGTCGTGCTGAAGGCTCGGTGGGACTCCTCTGTGACAGCAGCCCTTTTGATTTCATCTTCCCTGTCCCGGATTCCAGCCATCTCTTTCATGACCCTTGCTGGTGGCTTGGGCTGGTTCTGGCAGGTCATACCCGCGCACACAGTCTCTGGTGAGGGGACAGCACAGAAGGTGCATGTTGTTCAGTCGGTCTGCTGGTCTGCTTTTGGCTGGCTTCTGGGTGGACACATACCTCGTCTTCCATCTTTTTCAGATCAAAGACATCTTAAAGCCAGAAGTAATGGAGGAGATTGTGCTGGAAACGCGCCAGAGGCTTTTAGAGCAGGAGGGCTGAGGAGGTCCCTGAGGATGGACTGTCTCGTGGAGTGGAGCAGTGGAGGGTCTGCTTGCGGTCCCCACACGCGGCCCAGGGAGGAGCCGACAGACTCAGGACTCATCTTTTCGAAGCCCCCATCCCTGGCCTGCTTTCTCCCTTTCTGGGACAAGAGGCCTGCGGGTGAACAGCGCTTCCAGCCCCTATGGCCTGGCGAGTCCCAGCAGAAGTGATTTCAGGTCTGTGGATGCAGGTCTGTGGATGCAGTGTCCCCGCCGAGCGACCGCCCGTCCTGGACTAACACGGAGTCTTTCGTCTTCCTCGCTCATGAGGCACAATGCCCATGAAATTGCCCTGGAGGAAAACGTGGCATTCCTGACCCCAAAGGACCTCTGCTCCACCTCCTTTTAAGGTGCAAGTGACCCGGCAGTGTACAGATGGTGAAGTTAGCCTGGCAGACAAATGGAGGAATAAAGTTAACCCTGCACCTCTGCTTAATCTCCTGCGCGATCCTTGAGTGACAGATGCGCGGGACCCACACCAGGCTGCCTGACCCTGTGCTGCTTTCCAGGGTGAGGGCGGCTGTTAGAAGCTAAGTTCTGGGGGTCGGCGATTTAGCTGTAGTTCCACTGCCTGCCTCACAAACGTGAGAGGCACCCCAGGAGAAGGCAGAGGAGGTAGGGAGGGTCTTTAGCTTGTGAAGTCCTGGGTGTGAGTCCAAATTCAGCTGACTGAACTGCTTCGGTGATTGTGTCCAGCTCACCTTCCCTGTCTGAATCCTCTCCTGTGAAATGCAGTTGTGTTCAGCAGGGCCTGAGGGCACAAGCCTGTAATCCCAGCACTCTGGAGACAGGCAGGAGGATCACAAGTTCGAGCTCAGGTCCTGAGTTTGACCGCTGGTACCGAAAAAAAGAAGCAGCAGCTAACCGATGACAGAGAAAATGAATATTCTGGGTCCATTGTACTTTGCGTGCTCTGATAAATGTGAAGAAAACAGAAAAATGGGAAACGAAGCTGTTTTCCTTTCATAATTAAAATAGCGACATTCACAGGGTTAAAGATGAAAGCAAGATACTGAAGTTCTCACCAAGGAAAGTTAGCAATCCTGTGCATTGATTGTATGTCTTTTTTTTTTTTTTTTGGTTTTTTGAGACAGGGTCTCACTATGTAGTTAACTATGTAGTTGAGACCCTGGAACTCACTGTGTAGCCCAGGCTGGTCTTGAACTCACAGCGATCCTCCTGCCTCAGCCTCCTGAGTGCGGGGATTACAGGCGTGCGCCACCAAGCCCGGCCATTGATTGTATTTCTAATGACTTTAGAAATGGTGCCCTGACTTAGGTTTTGGGAAGTTTTTAAAGCCACCATATATGCAAATGTGTTTTATATCTCTAGTGAACTACTTTGTGATATTTCCAGTGTATTAATGTTGGTTTCTGTTCTTGTGATCTGGGTGATAGCTCAATACTGTAGAAGGGGGGCTCAGATACAACAGCCTTCTGGATGGGATCTACTGTTCCTACCTGACTTTTCATAGGCTCTTGCCATGTAGTCCAGGCTGACCCTGAACTCACTATGTAGCCCAGGCTGGCCTCAAACTTGAGGTGATTCTCCTGTCTCAGCCTCCCAAGTGCTGGGATTACAGGCATCCGCCACTGCTCCTGGCAGCAGTAGCAACTTTGAACACTGCCTTTGACAGTCACTTTTGTTTTATCCCAGGTAGCACCTATTTTGAGGAATTTGAAGATAGCACAATATTCTGTTGCAGCTTGAGGTTGGCTCCCCTGTCATTCTTGAAAAACTTTCCCGGGCTGTGTTCCTCCTGACAAGGGAATGGGAATGAGTGGGTGCTTGAGTGCCCCCCCAACCTCCTGTATCTTCCTCCTCCACTGGCTTCTACCAAGCTGCTAGCTTAGGCCCTTTGTTCCATGTCTGCTGAACAGTGATTAGTGATTTCCCTTATAGTTACCCAATGGAAACAAAGTCTGAGAACATCTTGCGTCCCACGGCCCACTAGAGGGCGCCCTTGTTACGTAATTGTAGTAGGTGTAAGACAAGTATTTATATATCATTTGAACTTTGCTTTATAAAAGTAAAATCAGGGGCCGGGGGTTTAGCTCAGTGGTTCGGTGGCCTGCCTTGCAAGCGCAAGGACCCAAGTTCAATCCCCGGTACCAAAAAAAAGGTAAAATCAGACCAAACTGATACACTTTTAATAAAAGTATAAGAGCTTGAAGAGTGAGGCAACATTCTATCAGACATTTGCTACGTTCTGGATTCTGGTTTTAAGTGGTACATGGGATTAAAAACATCTACTACATGTCTTGAGAAAAACACAGCCTGGGCTTGGAGTCACCTAAAACTAGGAAACATTGGGAGTGAAAACAAGATCAGGGATGAGTCAAGTACAGTTGACTGCTCTGGGGCCTGCATATCTTCTGGCTAAGATCAGGTCTACTTTGGTCCTCACAGTGACCTAATGGAGTGAGCAGCCATGATCCCCGCTTAGAGGTGAAGAAATCAGTTCAGCAAAGTAAGGTGACTGGCTTGATTAAGCCCATGAACAACAGGCTGGGGTAGATTGAAGCTCAAGGAGGTGTTGGGAAGCTGTCCTTTGGAGGACACTTGGGCTGATGGGAGAAGGTTATGGATCTAGAAGTTTAATTTCCAGCATTGAGACTGATCGTTGGATTGTTACTTGCTTTTTTTTTTTTTTTTTTGAGACAGGGTCTCACTATGTAGTTGAGACTGCCCTAGAACTCAACTGTGTAGCCCAGGCTGGTCTCAAACTCACAGCGATCCTCCTGCCTCAGCCTCCTGAGTGCTGGGATTATAGGCATGTGCCACCACGCCTGGCTGGCTTGTCCCTTGTCATGAGGGCAAGGAAATGCTTTTACCCCCAGCTGCTGTATCCCAGCACAAGAAGTGTGTATACAATGAGTTCCTGATTTTCTTGCTCAAGTCTAAGCTAAACCAGAGCATAAGGAATGCAGATGTCTGGATAGGGTTGTAGCTCAGTGGTACAGCGCCTCCCTAGTATAAGATTCTGGGTTCAGTCTCTGGTACTGGAAAGAAGAACTAAAATCATGTAAGGAAATTAATAAAGCATAAATAGTAAAAAGAAAAGTTCAAAAACTAAAGCAGTAACCAGGATAAGTAATCAAAGGGAAACCAAAGTTAGGGAAGTTGGAAATCGAGTTCTAAATTTGTGCGGAAGTTTTCATCGTGCTTCACACTCAGTATCTCCACGGGACTCCCCTCTGCCCCTTGTACTGTTACGGCGGATGCCATGTCTTTGTCCAGTAGAAACATTTCTGAAATACTTAGCTGAGGGCCGGGTGATTTAGCTCAGTGGTTCTGCTGCCTGCCTCGCAAGTGCAAGGCCCTGAGTTCAATTCCTGGTACAAAAAACCCAAAATACTTAGCTGAATGTACAACACTCAGGTGCCCTCTGATATCAGAAAAAGCTCGTGAAATATAAATTGTTTAACACTGACTCCAGTTGCTTGGTACTGGACAGTGCAGTAGAAAAACCATAGGTTCTGGAGCAAGGCCAGGCTGGGCGGTAATGACTGTCACCTCCTAGCCGGGTGACCCATGTTTCTCCACCTGAGGAAAGCGATGTCCCACGGTCTGGGCCTCACTGGGCTGCAGTGTGTGTTAAGTGAGATCGATCTTAGCAGTGGGTGTACCCGGGTCGTTCTGCACTACGGGGGTGTGGGGAGAGTTAATAGGGGACCAGATGCTTTTTAGTTGTAGATAGGTTACAAAAGATGCCGGTGTAGGTCTACAAAACCCCAAAATGGACATTTCGGCTATCAGGGGTGGGTTTGTGCGAATGCGTGCTCACCTGTGCAACGTTAACGGATGCTTCTGGCTCAAACATCTAGGATCGCACCTGCGCTGCGAACAAACGCTTTTTATCTCCCGATATTCTGCAGCCATTGACTTAATTACTTCATTAGCAGCAATCGGATACCTGCTTTCTGTATCCTCCGCTGGGGGGAGCAGAGAGAGAGAGGGAGAGAGAGAGATCAAACACCTTGGTTTCTGGGAGCGGGCCAAATTTTACCCTTTTAGAAACTCAAAGAAGTATTCCAACTCCGGGTCTGGGAAAATCCGATCCGCAGTTTCCCCTCGCTCTGGTTCTCCGCCAGTCTCACTGCTAGCGCAGGGGAGACGTTGGCAGCCCGACACGAGGCCGGCGAGATCCACCGGCTCCCAGGAGGGCGGGGCGGGCGCTCAGAAGCTGGACCCCGGG